CTATAGAAGAAACTATAAAACTTATAGAATCTAAACATAACATAAATGTGGGACGCACTTGAGTGCTGAGTGCCAAGTGCGAGAAACGACTATAAATTCGAGCTTTAAGTTCGGACTGTGAATACCGGCATTTCTCCTCTCCTAGTACAAAAAGTACTAAATTCAATGCTTCCCACCATGTGTCTCTACAATCGCCACAAATCACCATCTACCACCAACATTCCTACCTACCTCTCCGTACCTTATAACCCGTGACCAATGACGTCCGTCCAGCTCGTTATGCAAACATGTTCCGAACTCATGACCTTAATCATTGAAAAGTGAAAAGATTTTATCCAACGCAGCTCTTCCTCGTTCTTCCCCTCGCGACTGCCAGTCCGCCGCTTATTGTTACCAGGTAATATCTATTCAAATTACGTTTTTCCACTTGCAAATCGTTTCCAGGAATAATTTTGCTGTCAGATAACGGCGGGCAGTTACGCCTAACCTACAATTTCCATAACCCTGGCCGCATTCATATTTCGCGTTTATTCATGTATCGATGTCACTGTATCTACCGATAACGCGGCAAATTTCCATTTCTTACTGTCGATCGGCTCTCTGTCAAATATAAAACTAAGTGCTAGTATTTCGAATTAATAAAGTGTCGATAAGAACTTTTCGTTCGAACTGTGCTTATAATGAATAGTGGTTTCTTGTGAGAACTTTTGTTTGTATTTTTTGTTTTTATTGAATTTGTTTATTTTTTTCAATTTGATGTTTTTTGGAGTTTATGTAGGTTTTATTGAATTTGTTTATTTTTGGAATTTAAAGTCTTTTTTTGAGTTTGTGTAGATTTTATGAAAATTTTATTCAATAATTGCAGTTGAATAGTGGGATTGATGATTGTGGTAGGGGACTTAATAGAAAGTAGAGGAGTCGAAGTTTAATTTGACATGAAAATGAAATAAATCAGTTCATTATTAACGAAGTTATTAGTTATTGAATTTTGAAAGTAGTTTTCAGTTGCATTTAATATTTAGAATTGATCATATTTTCATTTATTAATGACTTTGATCCCTTCGAAGTGGATTTACACAAATTTCCTAGAAGTACTTAGTTAAAGTACAAAACTCAGCCTTTAATTTCAGATTGGAATGAAGTACATCGGGCCATTATTAACAAAGTTATTAACAATTGAAGTCAAACAATGGTTTTCGTTAGAATAGTATCTTCAGGATTTTGCAATGGCCACTTAAAATATGATTTTCTTCACTTACGAGTGGATGTAGCTAAAATTATCATAAAAACTGAATTAAAACAGAGCCTTTCATCCAATTTCAGCCAATTTGAACCATCAACGGAGTAAATCAGTCCATTATTAACGAAGTTATTAAAAACTGAAATCTGACAATCTTCATTCCAGAGAAACAGTTCTTCAGAAAGTTTGCTTTAAACTTAATTTTCACGTATTCAGATTTGAATACTAGTATCCTAAAACGATATTAAAGGCAGCCGACGAGTACTTTTTAAAGCCTCACTACTTCTACTACTACTACTAGTCCCGTTTTCCTTTGTACTGAATTATTACTATGCAATGTTAAAATTATAAGATTTGTGATCGCAATAATAATTGTATACATTCGTTTACAATTATGGCGCAGCTGTCTGAGAATTCTAATTAGCAGGTGAATCCTGATACCAGAAATTACTGATACCCATTTACGTCATTGTGCAACAACTACATACGTAACATGCTGAAGTAATTTTAGCTATAATGTTTAATAATTTTTTCATATCCGCATTCTTTAACGAAGTCGGAAAAAATTCTGTAATATATGTAATGTCTAGTACTGTATTTCTAAATTTTTGCAGAATTTTTCATTCACGAAAATTGTAAATATTAAATATTTTATAAATATTAAATATTAACTGTAAATTATTCTTCTCTGTTATGCTTTGGAAATTTTTAACAATTTTAGTTTGCAACTTTAAAGTCTAGAAAATTATATAATTTAAATCCCATCGAATACAATATCCTTGAATTTTTCAGAATTTTTCAAGTACTCGAATTGCCGAAATTAAATAGTTTATACAGAAACATATTTGAAACCTAATATCGAGAAGTTTTCTGATTTGTTTGTTACACAAATCCTTGATGACAAAATTTTTTAAAATTTTACAGTATTATCCCCACCAAGTAGTATATTCCTGAATTTTTCATTCATAAGTACCGTAGATATTAAATAAAAACGTTAAAATCATAGACAAGTCTCGTACACATAAACCATTCAAAAAACTGTAAAGAATTGTATCCATTTGTTTACAGTCTCATCAGCCCTGTCGACCGGGCAATTATCGCCGAATCTGCGATGTAACGATCCTTACCATAAATCGCCGATAACGATTGAAATCGCGGGCCGGCTTTAGGTAATACATTTAAAAAAAAGACGCCACATGAACGACCCCAATGCATAATTCATACATACATAATTCATACATACATACATAAGCCATGTCACGTTTCTTGTCTGACTAGCACCGATTTAAGGTCACGCGTGACAGAATGTCGAACCCTTTCGGCCGTATCTGCGCTCAGTTTGCGTCAGGCTTGAAATCGCGAACGATCAGGATGGTAGCAAGTGCGCAGGCAGCACCGTTGCAAGAGCAGGCATTAGAGGAGCGTTGCATCCTAGTCGATCAGGCGGATAGGCCTCTGGGCGAAGCGTCAAAAAGGGACTGCCACCGGGTGAATGATCAGGGCCAGGTGCTGCTCCACAGGGCCTTCAGTGTGTTTCTGTTTAACAGCAAGGGCGAGCTTTTGCTCCAGAAGAGGTCAGCTAACAAGGTATGGAGGTTCAACTATTGACGTTTTCTTTTTATTTTGATTCAATACTGATCCATGGATCCGTTTTGATTTGGGGTCATTTTAGACCCATTTTTTGGGGTCATATTGAGATGCTTCTTTAGTCGGTGGTGTATTTTGGGGATTTCTTTTAGTTTGAGAACTCTTTTTGGCTCTTTTTTAGTTCAGGTCTGATCCTTGGGGCATTTTTTAGTTGAGGGCACATTTTTAGCCTGTTTTTAGTTGGCCATACATTTTTCGGACTTTTTTGGTTAGAGTTTAGTTGGAGACCCATTTTTGGACATTTGTGTGAATTGGAGTCTTTTTAGAAGGAAAGGCATGTAAAACCATGGGGGTCGGAAGGCACCGGCGCGATACCTTTCCCAGACGATAGTATGGGTCCACCGCCCATGCTATGCATATTGTAATTCGCATCAAGACGGTATATAATATTTTCAGTTGTTGAACACTTTTATCGATTATAGACAATACGCAAGTAGAAATTAGCACATGGGCGGGATCAAGTGTAAAACATCTTGAAAGAGGGGCAATATCATTGGACAAGAGGGGTAGACTGCTCTAAATATTTATAATACCGCCCTTCAATTGACGTAGGTTTTTCTGAAGTAGTTTATCTTTTTCTCTTGTTTACTTTTTCGGTATGACAACCTGACCCATCCCAACTTTGACTGTCAACGATACATTATTGCTAACTGTAGTAGTTGCGTATCAAATAAAATTGTTAAATATCAGTATGTATTTCTGTATCCGATATTTCTTACGGTGTTTGTGATGGGAAAACATAGTGGCTCACGGTGTTTCAAAGTTACGTACGAATTGACCTGAAACTTACGGGATCGACAATAAAAAAGATGTAGTAGCTATTTAAAGCTGCACAGCGAGTGGATGGTGGAGGTGGGCCCATACTTTCGCACTCGTTTGAGGAAGATGTTCTGAGGCCCCATGCTTTGACATGGATTTCTCTATACCTTCAACCCTCTGCTACGGTACTGTTTCTGACGGGGGAGGCATCTTTCGAGCTCAAAATTTCGCTGGAAATCACGCAAGATTTTTCTTACAGTACATTACGTTACAGTAATGTGAATGGTCAATAGTACCTATTCTCATGTAACTCTCTGCTTACTGTGTCTGGGCCATTTTTAACCCTAGTTCGATTTTTCATTAATAGATACTGGCAGTTCTCTAAAACCGTGTTTAATTTTAATTTCATGAATAAATAATAAATAAAAAACCTAATATCACTGATGAAAAATATTTAATAATAGACGTCAATAGTAATGAGTACATATAATTTTTTATAAGCGATTTTAATCGCGTATTAATCAACTTTTTCTTGTCCGCGTTTGTAAATAGTCTTGAGAATGGAATTAGCAATAACTCGAATTCTAATTTAATAAATACTGAAAATGACTGATCTCAAGTACGTCAATGGAACTCACGAATTATTGAGAATTGATTAAAGTTAATTACACTAACCGACACATAAAACCTTTCTTATAAAAGTACGTAATAAATTAAAATATTAAAATTCAGATTTAAGATTAACAATTCGGATTAAAAATTAAGGATTAACAAAAGTTGTAAGAGCATAGAAGAAAAATAAGAAACGTTTAATGTAATTAGATCAATGCAACTTGAAAAATGATCCTTAATGCTATGATAATGAGAATTAAATGAAATTGTTTTCTTTTCTTTAATGACTTTTAAAGTATTGAGTTAGGAGATATTTGTATGGGACGTTATTTGCAACACTACAACTTTTGTTGGAAACATAGAACCTATAATTAACGAGTTATCTGCATTAAGCAGATATTTTGTATTGTAAGGGAGAGTCTCATACTTTTGACGATTACTCAAACTGTGCAATTTAGAGAAAAATTCTATAGGATCTTCTTTGTAGGTAATAGCAGTAGCTATAATTATTGTTTAAAACATTTTTTTTTAAGATCAATAATATAATTAACGAGTGATTAATAATAAACTGATAAACGAGTGATTACTCCTAAATTGTTGGATCTACAGAAAAATTACTTAGAACCTTATTTGTAGCTGACAACTAAAGCTTCAACTTTTGTTTAAAACATTTTTCTTCAACCTCAGTAATAAACGAGTTATAACCGCATAAATAAATTTTCTGTTTTAGATCACATTCCCCAGTCACTACACGAACACCTGTTGCAGCCACCCGTTAGCCGAGATCCCAGACGAAACTGAAGAAGACGAAGCTTTAGGCATCAGGCGAGCTGCCCGCCGTCGCCTCAGCTACGAACTGGGTATCCCTAAATCCGAGATCCTTCCGTCAGACTTCTTCTATCTAACAAGGATCCACTACCATGCGACAAACGGTTGCTGGGGTGAGCACGAGATCGACTACGTCCTCTTCATGCAAAAGGACAGCCTTACGCTTGACCCGAATCCCGATGAGGTCAGTGAACTCTCTTGGGTCTCCCAGGACCAGATCAACGAGTTCGTTAAAAACCTTGATTCCCCGTTGAGCCCTTGGTTCAAATTGATCCTGAAGCATAGATTACCCGATTGGTGGAGCAACCTGAGCGCTCTAGAGGAGATGAAGGATCACAACACGATACAGAGGTTCGTTTAACGAACGGGCCCGCCTCGCTAGGCTAGCTATTCTGGAGGATAGATGAAGTCGGACATGGACGTGAGTGTTATAACACGGCCCTCGGCGAAGAATTAGGTGGCAACACTTGAATCGTATAAATTGAATATTGTCACGCGAAGCCCATGTCTGGATTAAGTAATTCCAATGTATAGGGTGAATCGATAGAAATCGTAATGCGAAATAAGTTGGTGTTAACACGTTCACGACGGCTTAACCACCGGTGGTACGGTTATTCATATCTGACTTAAAAAACAGCATGTGTACCATTGGTAGGACGTAGACATGTGAAAAAACAAAACTGGAAGCTCAAAAATTTGGATATATTATGAGGCCCAAATTTTGGATTTACTATAAGGCGAATAATTTGGATTTACTGTAAGGCTCAAAGTCTGATTTCCCTTGTAAGGCCCAAAATTTGATTATTCATATAAGGGCCAAAATCTAATTGTCAATGAAGGGTCCAAAGTTTGATTATTAACTCAAGGCTCAGTAATTCGAGTGTCAACGTAAGGCTCAAAATGTGAGTCTCAATATAAAACCAAAAACTAAGTTTTCAATATTAGACCCAAAACTAGATTATCGATATAAGAATACACATTGAAACATGTATTGAGGCTCTTATTCACTATTTATATACATTGAAACATTTATTCAGATCCCGTCGCAAAAGGCCCAAAAATCGGCCCAACTACAATACTTGTTGAACACACTCATTGACATGGTTTACTGACGGTCACTAAATAATTATTATTCTGAGCGAAATGCTTAAGGCCTCATCGCGAGCGTGTTAATAAGCCTAGCAAGTATTCATTTGTTGCAATAATATTGAATTGTAAAAATAGAGTAATTCTTTCATATTCAGCAATCGTCGAATATTAGCGATAAGTTAATAGTTCATTCGACGTCCCACTGTGAAATGTACAAAACGTTCGATGAATCGAACGAGAATTTAAATTGAATTTCTCAGTTTCGTAAGGTGATTAATCCTAAGATATTTTCCATTGTCAAATGTGAAACTGGAGTAATTCCTTTTTTAATGAAACGCGTAGCAGCAGGACTTCCCATTTCCTCCGTTTCCACTGTAAAGAAACGATAGTGCAAATCCTGTGCGAAGCGGATTAAGGAAGTGTCGAGAATTGTGTTTTGGAAAATTATATTATACACATGTGATATGAAAACGCAGTGAATTTTAAGTCGACCTCTAATGGGAGAAAATCGTTAATAAATGAAAATATGACTAATTCCTAAAATTAATTTCTAATGAAACTTCAGTTGTTAATATTTGACAATTCTAGTGGAAGGAAATTCATTAAAAAATTTCGAGATGTACTGCTATATTAGAAGTACATTTGAGAACTTTTTCTAAATTTTCCATCTACAATTTATATTAAATAAAAGTTCTCAAATTTTATAAATTATAGACAAATGTGGAAACAGATCAGAAATTTGAAGGAATCCGCAAATTCAACATGACAGTTCCTATGAGACACTTTCAGACACTTTCACGCATGCATAGAAACTTCACATTAGTTCACATAAGTCTGATGCTTAACTCTATGTCTATAAGATCGTAGTATGTATACTCGAAAGCTTTCCACGTACTTCGCCATATTGAATTACTGTCTTCACTCGTATCTCAAAATCTCCATTACATAGTTTATCATACATATGTAGAATATCCGATCCCGTCCTGTTTACACCACATTCGCGCGTTAGTAACTGGGGACAAACTTACACACAAAGCTGAAGCAAAGTTTAGTTCACACAACAATTATAAGAAGCGCTAATAAACATTATCGCAACTTTAAAATATGCCTATGAGCCTTACACGTACACGTTCGTGCTGTGTGATTCGACATTTAGTTACATTCAACAATTGTAGGAGGCGCTAGAAACTGTGCTTCAACCATGGATCTGAGCTGCAACTCCCTATTATGTAGGTTTACCGTTTGCTCCTCTCCAGTACTCTGGTGCTCTGATGTCTCTCGTAGTCTTCGCCATTTGTACTCGAAAATCTCATCTGCCAAAATTTTGAACTTTAATAAAAAATGGCAAAAATCGCTAACATCTTCTTAAACAATTCATCGAATTAACATTAACGCAATCCTAAACAGCGAGTGCTCGCGGGTGATTATTATAAACAAAATGTCTCCGGTGAATGTCGCTGCTACCGTCAGCGTCTCGTCGTCGACTTAACCAACAATGTGAACTGCGTTGTCCAAACGGTGAATCGCGTTCGAACGATGTTTTCAGTCTTGTTCGATTATTTTATGTGATGGTGCGGGTGCAGTGTTTATGGTTTTGAAGGGGATACGCAGGGTGAGGAACTGGGATGACAGAGCCGGGACTGTGCCGGCTCTGCGCCGAGACCAAAGAGAATCTCATCGGAATTTACGAGGCCGAGGGGCAGAGGTTAGATGTGCTGGGGAAAATCGAGAAATGCCTACGAATACAGGTAAACGAATCTTTTCATATTTTCGGTTATTATTATTAGATTGGGGATTTTTATCCAATTCAGAATAACAAGAGTTGAATGCACATTTCAATGTTTTCATGATAAAATGAATGTTATCTGAAATTGGTCTTTTAAATTTTTTTGCGCAAATTGCAATTCCTTTGTAAATAAAATTAAAGAAATTTAATATTTTAACATTTAAATATTTGATTTCTTCTGGAAATATTATAAATTAGATATTTCGTAAATATATTAGTTTCTTTGAATTAGTGAAAACTCACATAAATACATTTCAGTGGTCTATTCATTGTTTAATGATAATTCTTTTGTTATATTGATAAATGCTTGCGAATGGTGCTGTTAGTAAACGATTATCGTTGTTGCTCATTTGGTTTTGTTCATTATTGTTAATGTGGTCTGTAACCTGAACTTACTCACTATTTAATAATTAGTTACGGTGGAATTACCATAGACATATAAGAATAGACCGCGTGACCATTGGAGGGATTTTGTAAGTGGCTGCATCATCGCAATGGAAAGAGAATGTCGCACGAAAAGGATATACTATCCTTATCTACTGGCAAATATCACAGCATAAACATATATTCGCATGTGTAGTTAGATAAAGAAAGAGATCACTATCTGACAACTTTCTCTTTTTACCGTGCCGTCGACTTTTCGGCCCGCTCACGCTGTCTACTCTTATGTCTATGGGAATTTCAGGTGTTCGCGATTGAGAATTATGAATGGTGATAACATTATAATATATATTTGTGATTTTAAGAAAATACACGAGAGTGAACACACGTTGCCTATAATAAAATCAATTAAATTAGACGAAAGAAGAGCGGGCACTGCTGCCCACGCTCAATGATCTTCGTTATCCGGCTGATTGATGGTGTCAACAGGGTAACGAGAATTGCATTATTTCCAACAATTACTTTTTGGTTTAATTGAAATAATAAACGGGATCTTAAATGAACGCGAATATGTATTGAAATGTCGGCTTAGGGTCTAAAATGACCCAGGCATAGTAGACAGAGAGTTAGATGAGAATATGTATTGGTGAATTATTGGTGTCCGATCAGAAACGTCCCAGGTACAGTGGTAGACAAAATATTACCATAAAACTGGGCCCCAAATAGGCCTGGACATAAAATTACTGTACAAAATTGCACTACGTAAGAAATTGACCCAAAAATGAATGCAGGTAAAAAATTACTTCAAAAAACTGCACCACGTAAGAAGTGAGTCTACAATTGAGTCTGTGGGTTAAAAGCCACTTAGTGAAAAAGTAATTTAATAAGATCGCGAGGTAAAGGAATTTTTTTCTTAAAAACTATGTAAAGTTTTTAAATGATTTTTGGATACCTTCTAGATATACTATTCCTCTAGCTTCGTGAACTTTTTCAGCTCCTTACCATAAATCTTTTGGATTTTACAATTACATGTATAATTATATTTTGTGATTTCCAATGAAAACTGTTAATTGTACAATTATTTAAAGTAAATATGATTTTGATGACGTGGTTTCGTAAAATTGCAAGATTTATAATTTTTTTTCTCAAAAACTACTAGAGATATTTCACTGATTCTTGAACATGTTCTAAACTATACATTATACTAATACATTATACATATATAATAATAATATACATATATTATACTGTACATATACTTAACTATTATGTCACACTTGAAAGATACACTAGTAGTCGGCTTTAACAGACGTCATGAAGGAAGCGGCACGTTTGAAATTCCCTAAATACAATGATTCGTATGGACTATTTTTGTTCATGGTTGATACAGTGCAAACAGGCTCGATTGGTACAATAGCATTGGCTTGAAGTCTTGTTGTACCGTCCAGTAGATGTCCGTTTTTTATGTCCATCATCAAACCGCAATTCGTTAGATGCTGGATGATGGATCGTTGTCCTAATTCGTTTGCACCCGATTAGTTTTAACAGTGCCTGGAATTATTGAGACTCAAATTGCGAGCCTTTGTCTGCCGTTATCGTAATTGAACATCCGAATCTTGAGATTCAAACCGAATAGGAAGATGTGACGATTGTCTCTGCAGTAATATTCTTAATTATAATAATAACAGCGGGACAAACCATAAATTATGATCAACAGGATTTATAGCCTATTGAAGTAGGTAGCCGTCCTATAATATCCATATGAATATGTTGAAATCTTTTATCAGATACATCAATATATTCAGGTACATTCTTCGTATGCTTGCTAATCTTGCTCATTTGACAAGATGGCCATACGAATTTCTTTGCAATCCTTTCTCTCGTGGGACGGTTTCCTATATGTGCCAGTCCATGTACGCTATTGAAAATCTGTTTTCTCAGTGACTGTGGTACGAAAGGACGACTTTCGGCTGTAGATACTATGCTGTCCGTATTATCGACCCTGAATTTTTTTAAATTTAACGAGAAGGAATTATTGCATAGGATATTCTGAAGTTCTTCATCCCGAGCCTGTTTCTCAGCTAATTCCCGTGTACTTACTGTTGCGTCCTTTTCCACAATCGCAATTGATGCGGTCGACAGAATGTGCGGAGTGACTTAGATAATTGAACATAATAAAAATGCAATGTTTGTTTCACTATAGTGGACTATATTTCGTACAAATAGTAAACGCGTCTTAAAACCAAACTTGAAGTATGCTCTGAGTTTCTCGCGTGATGTGCTCTTGTTGACGAACGAAACTCCTATTACTCTGTTTGCTACTGGACAAAGCTTCTTCGGAAAAATTGCAGAAGGGGCAAAAAGTCAAAGTAGTGGGGGTTGCATTTCCCAACAAAGAAAAAACTGCAAAGCCAACCGAAATAAGATAATATAATATGATCACCCGAAAATTTCACTTAAGTACCTGGAGACCTTCGACTCG